GAAATATCGCGGATTTATGTGTACAACTGTGCAAGCGAACGACAGACGATTTTAAATTCTATCGATCGTCCATTGAAAACCGGATCGGGCACCGTTAACCCTACCAGCCCGTACACTATTCTCGGGTGTTATCGCGTCGTACCGGGAGACAAGGACGCCGCCGGGATCCCGGGATTATTCGACAGTCTGAACCGACATCGAGACAATAATGTCAGGATTACGTCAAGCTCGATGAGGATTTCAACTTCGCCTGCCTTAGACGTGCGTCATCCCGTGATGCAGCGCGCGGCTTCAAGTATCCCTGTAGGTTCAGATTCTCGACGACTTCTGCTATCGATAATAATGTTCCGTATATTGCCGTCTCCTTCCATTTTTCAACTGTTCCACGCTATTTGCTTTCTTTATTATCCATTGCACTAGAGCGCTGTTCCGCAACTCCGCATTTACTGAGTTACATGCAGTCTGCTATTTGGTATTCACGCTGCCAACTAGAACAACGTCCGGAATGTGCTCACCCTTTTTCCAAGATAAAGTCTCGAAGATGTACGAGGACCACGGTGAATTATTCGTCGCACGTGTGGCACTATGCATCGCGTGTTTCGCGGCGATAATACAGGCGTGGTGTAAATGTCATGTGCTGCCATTTCGAAGATCGCGATCGCGTCGCGAGCAGCAGGATTTATTCAATGACATTATTAAAAAAAGAAAAAATCATCTAATATAAAAAATTTATAATATATGGAGCTGTACAAAACAAGTTAATTAAATTGCTAAAAATCATTTACATATGTATATGTATACTATATATACAAAAAATATTTTTAAAAACATAATCAGCAATTTATTGTACATTTTTGCAGCACACAAATCTTATTTTTACTATACAGCTCTGTCTACATTTGGATATAAAATGTTAAATTTGATATTAGCGTTATGAACTATTGTAGTACATACATTAAAATATAGCATTTTGTATCCAAATATAGATAGAGTTGTACAGTGCAAAAGATTATTAATTGTTCGCGACTGCCTAATTCTGTAATATTTTTATTATAATTAATTTCTGCAATTAAATCAGAACAGGTTCTTTTTTTTTATCAGAATGAATGCATAAAACTTGCAAAGTCCTCTTGGTAAAAAATATCCGTTCCACTCTGCGGATATCGTAATAATCGTCTGTCTATTCAGGATACTTGAGGAATCCAATCATTTTTCCAATCAATTCGTCGGTATAGAGAATAAACGCTTATTTCAGAAAGACGCCAACAGCAGAGCAGAGAATCATGGGAAAAAGGAAAATACGATAACGAGCCACTTGTTAGAATATAAATTTCTTCCTTTTTTTTCGGTCAATTTTTGTGTCTGGATTATTATTGCAAAATTTGTACCATTACATAAATGCAAAATAGCCATCTTAGAAATCTGATATTGTTTTAATTATATTATAAAATACAATGCCTAGATAGATGCCTCGTGAGTCATATCGCTGAATCCTTCTGTTGCCAAAATAATAACCGGATGTATAATAACACAGTTTTATTAATTATAGTTTATTAACATTTTATAATCCTTATTAATTCGATTACAGATTATAAAGAAACATGATACAAAACTACATATAAACATATTTACTCCGCGATATAACCTCGTCAAAAGAGATTTTTCCTGCTTCAAGAAAATTATTAGAATGTCATCGGTAATTGCAGATAATTCTCAGTAGCTAGTATTAACAAACATACCGGTTTGCACAGCTATTGTCCGTTAATTGAATTCATACAAAGGACAGTATTTACATTTTGTCGGATTTTATCGTGCCGACTGAACCTGAGGAAAATGTTTACATTCCAATATTTCGAGAAGATCATAATGAAGATGGACGATTCTAGAAAAAATTTCGAAGAGTCGTAATTCTGTTTCTCAGTGTGTTGCATTCAATAGACCGTTTTTTTAATATCGACATTTAAAGAAAATTTTATGTTTGCAATGGGAAAGTTTATTGAGATGTCAATTTGTTTACTCTCGCGTCATATTGTTAGTTTTACAACAAGAATCAATAGTATAATCAAGCAGAAATAAATTCACGATAATGGTATACGTGTCAGTACAAAACGTGTACTGTAAGCACCATTTCGAATTCAACCCTCGTTTCCTTGGAGTGGGACCTCCGGCAGGGCAACGGGAATTTCACATCGACGTCGCTTTGTGGAGGGTTGATCTGGCGGCCATGTTTGGTTAGAGAAAATTTTACAATCCCACCCCTCGTGGTCGGCCCTCACGATAGCAGCTTGCACGACACGTAAACTAACAAAGGGCTATAAGCTCGTAATATTGCATGAAGCGCGTGCACTATACTTCTCTAAAACTTTGCAAACTACGACGTTGAAAATTCAACTACGAACAATGTTATATTTATATATCTCAAATAAAGAAAAAATAAAATAAATTGTATTTTATATATGATATTTTTTCAATATTCTAGTTTATACATATATATTAATATATATTTTTTTTTTCTTACAATTCCGTGCGATACGAGGAAAATATGGACAAATTGTTTGCATTCTGCGAGCAGCTTTCGTGCGTCGTTCGTGAATTTCAAAGAGACTTCATGTGGACGGGTATAAAATGGTCGATCGAGAGGGGTGCCATGGCGACCATGTCGGTTCCCAATTAAACAAATGCCGGCAGGAACTCGAACAACCCCTCAGGCACCGGCGTCCATCTCTCCTTGCTCTCTTGATGAACGTCAACGAATATACCCTTCTTTGTCTATTGCTCTCCTGGCACGAGAGGGTTTCGAACGTCGCACGTGCGGCATGCGAAACTCGAGCTGGATTCACCACATGTGTGTTTCATTCGAGCTACACTTACTCACAAAAGTTACACTGGACTACACTTGTTCGATGCAAAATGACAAAAAAATGTGCAAAAATTCTATATTATTTTTAATTTTTGTAAATCTGTAACTCGAGAATTATTAAATAACAATTTTTATCAATTGTTGAAAGTAAATATCGAGAGCATAAACAGCAGATTGGAATCATTTATTATTATATTAGTGTATGAATATAATTAGCGTAAGAATGTAATATAAGAATCTAAAAATGCATACACACATAAGGAAAAATCAAAATTTCGTAAAATTTTGAGTGTTATGAAGTAATTTTAAATAAATACAGAAATGTTAAAAAATATTGTGGATTATAGGATATTTTAGATGCGCTTGTTTCTTTGATTACTGGTATTGGACACAATTTTTAGACCAAGTGTACCTTCGCATTTCCTCGCATCGTGCATCGTTCGCCGATCGCTCGCGGCGTTAATGCGATCGACAGAGCGTATGAATCGCGTTCGCGTGAGCAACGGTTTGTAATCGTACGCTGTCTAGCGCATTTTAATCTCGAACCACGTTGCTAAATATGTCGGCGAATCTGTACAAAGAACTACGTCGGAAATTTTGAAGCTACCATACAATATTTGACGAGAATTCGCCTAGGTGTGGGAGAGATACGGGACATTCTGAACGTCGTCCTCTCTCGACTTCTGGATTACATTACGGGGCCAAATATTGGAGCACCTCTTCAGAACACCGGCCAAACTGTTTGACTTACGCGATTGTGCGTTCGAACATCGAGTTGGTTACTTCGTTCGACGTACAGGGCTGTCAGTAACCGGACGACGACTATAGAATAGCTTTGCTAATCCGAAAAGCGGATTAAAGCAAACGCGAAGCCGATCCCGAAAGGCGGGGTTTCCGACTTCCGTTGTGTGTACTCTGAGTCGAGCATTATTATCTTGTTAGCGAACAATATTCCGGAAGAATGGCTTCATTCGAATCTGCGCTTGGTGCACCGAGGAAGATGTGCGGAAAATATATTCACTTGCCTGCTGTACTTAGACGATTATGGTGCAAGGTCGTTATCTCATAAAATCATTAACAGTATAACGTACTAAAAAGATAATACTCTTTTACATAACTAGCAAAAAAATATGAGATATAGTAACATAAGAAAAAGTAAAAAAGTGATTTGTTGTTTTTTCATTTCTTTCCTGATTTTGTAAGTGAAAAGATAATAACAATATGATGTAAATATTTTCAATGTACTTACATTTATGTATATTTATGAAAAATATCCTTTCTTATAAAACTCGTAAGCTGTAGCAAATAAAAAATATAAAAATAATTTGATCTTTGAGATAAAAAGATTAATCTTATATGCATAAACTGCTCTTCCAGTATAATCCGGATTTTTGAGGCCATTGTGGTCAAAATGCGTATGTTCTCGTCATTAATTTACGTATCCTTGTTGGTAAAGTGACGAGCATTTTCGCAATTCTGAAAGTTCTATTAGCATTTTATTAGCATTTATATGATGTTGACTGAACCTATTATCCTATGTGTCTTAGGAAATCTAATTATTTGTACTGTAGCGATGGTTACTTTATCCACTTGTACAATGTAATTTATCTAAAATGTTGTTTTAAATATAAAAAAATAACATCTCTTAGGGTCGTATTCATAATCGTGATTCAACTTGAGATTCGATTTGAACTAGATTTGAATTAGTCTTTCATTTGAAAAACGCTTTTTAAACCACGATTTAATAAATCTGATTGGTTCAATCTTTAGTTCAAACCTAGCTCGCCTGAAATGAGGATCAATCGTGGATCGATCTACGACTATGAATACGGACCTTAAAGAAATGTGACGTAATAAAATTTACCACACTATTTACATTAGATTAATTTTTCGTAAATTGTGTAACAACTATTTTGCATCTTTCATGTGAAAGATTAAAAAATAATAGATATTTAGAAAAGAAATTATCAGATTTTTAAATAATTTTAAGTAAAATATATTTATAGTAGATTTATTTTATTTAGATATAAGTATAACATAAAATTAATAATAGATTTTACAAGTACAAGTATGTTTATATTTAATTAAAAACGTATTGGCATTATAATATAATGCTGATACAAAAATTAGTAATGACGCGAACAAAAATAGAAATAAACAATCAAAGTTACGTAATTTATTTATCTACTGGATTTGCCTCTGTTACAGTTCTCTATTTCGATACATGCATCCCAAGGATTTCTGGCTCGCACGTAATCCTCTTTGCAGTAACAACCACATGCCTGAAAGAAATTAACAAAACTAATGATATTAATTATAAACAGAAATACTTAAAATACCCGGTACAACATTTTATCATATATAATACAGGGCAATATGGAAAAAATTATTTTAGTTGTTTCTAATGTATTCTTGCTTGCTGCATACAAATACGCTGTCCAAATGTGGCTATCACGTCACAATTTTAAGAAAAATGGTATTAAAGATGCAAAAACCGGCAGTATATTTTTAAGACTATAATCTTTTTATTATATTTTACTTTATATCAATTTTATATTGCTTTTTGATTTAGCATGTTCTGATATTTTTGATGCATTTTTAAATGTTAAATTCGAAAAACAATAAAAATGTTGTGTCACACAGTTATTTTATAATGTTTAATTTTCTTATGTTCCACAAAATATAAATGTGGTTTTAACACTGCATGATGAAAAAATTTATATTCTCCTATAAGAATGGGACATTATTACCGGATATTGAACCGTGAAAATCAAAAAGCAAGGAAAAGCTACAGACGCAACTTCTCTGAAAAAAAAGGATTGCTATACTAAGCTTTTTACATAAAATTCAAATATAAACAATCGAATTGTATAATTTTATAATTTTTTTGTAAATTATTTTAAATATATTTAAAATATATTCTAAGAGTTAATTTTTTGTTGTAAAAGAATTGTGGGTGATGGAGCAAATTGAGATTATTTTTGAATTTGGATCATCAAATTCCTATAAAATCAATATATACTTTATAAACAAATTTTAAAAATTTTAACTTTGTTGCCTTGTGTAATTAATGATTATTACGCATATGTGAAAAATTTTACCAAATGTTACATTAATGATATTGAAATGAGCATTAATTACAAAATAAATTTTAATATATAATATAATATATTAAATATTAATTCATTAATGCACTTACACGGGCTTGTATAGGGCAAGGTTTATCCAAGGTTTGACAAGTTTTTTGACAGAGCGATCCACATCTGTATTCTTCATTTTCACCAAAACAATCAGGAATTATAAACACGTCTGAAAATGATCGTGTATTATTACAATGCGTTAGCAAAAAAAAAAGAGACAAAATATTGATTTTCTAATATGAATTTATACATATAGGGTAACTCAGGTATATACGCCGCATTTATCAAAAACTTCATTTATTAAGTATTATTTACTATGTTTAAAATAAACAAACTATATCAATAAAAACTTTGTACTGTCTACTACTATGAAAAAAATATTAGAAATCCGAAATATTTAGTTTTCGTATTAAAAA